TTACCATAGAAATTACCAAAAGCTAAAATCATGTAAATCAAGCATCCAACTGGGGGAAAATGGAACACACTATTCACGAAACTGTCTCAAAGTTGATATATTATTTAGACAGTGTTAAAGGAGAGCATAACATGTTAAATATTTGCCATACCTATGTTGGTTCAGTGAACCATGTACTTTTATCTAATAGCTTCAGTGCCCTCTGCCGGTGACAAAGAGAATAAGCAAGGGTTTGAGAAGGAGCGGGAAACATTTTACTCTCCGGGCCTATTTAAGTTTTACATAAAGTTCTTAAAAGGCCACGCTAATACTAACCCCAATGGAGGCGCAATTACACCATTCACTACCGAAATGTTTATCTCACACTCGTGGTTGTTTTAAATGTTTGTTTAATTCCCCTTAATAAAGTCTTACCAGTTTGTGCATTCATTATTGCAAAATGTCTGTTTTTTTATTTTTATTTTACATGATATACAGGGAGTGCAGAATTATTAGGCAAATGAGTATTTTGACCACATCATCCTCTTTATGCACATTGTCTTACTCCAAGCTGTATAGGCTTGAAAGCCCACTACCAATTAAGCATATCATACCTTTTGTATGCAAATGCAAAAGACGCATACACCTCCGCCCCCCTCCCCCCACTCGGCCGCTCCGATCACAACCTGGTGTATCTGCGCCCTGAATACACACCCATGGTGAGAAGGCAGCCTGCACAGAAGAAGAATGTGAGGATGTGGAATGAGGAGGCCAATGAGAGGCTGAGAGACTGTTTCCAGACGACAGACTGGGAGACTTTCTGCAGCACTCATGAAGATGACATCGATGGCCTCACTGACTGCATCACGGACTACATGAACTTCTGTGTGGAGAGCACCGTACCAACCCGCAGGGTGCGGTGCTTTGCCAACACCAAGCCATGGGTGACCCCCCAGCTTCAAGTTCTGCTGAACAAGAAGAAGAGGGTGTTTGCTTCAGGGAACAGGGATGAGCTTAAAATAATACAGCGGGAGCTCAAGCAGGAGATCAGGAAGGCCAAGAACACCTACAAGGAGAAGCTTGAGGAGCAGCTGGGGCAGAACAAGACGCGTGATGTTTGGAGGGGCCTGAAGAACATCACGGGTCATGGACTGAGTGGAGCCAGCGACACACCAGGGGGTGACCAGAGATGGGCCGATGAACTGAATGAGTTCTTCAACAGATTCGATCAAAGGCCCCCACCCCCCTCCTCCACCACTGCTTCCACCTCTTCACAAATTAGTTCCCCCATCTAAACCACCATCCACAACACCTCTCACCTACACCCCTGCCCCCCAACCCCCAGCTGTCAACCTCCCCTCACTCCCCTCTCTCCCTGACATCTGAGCAGGTGAGGAGAGAATTAAGGCGACTAAAGAACAGGAAAGCTGCAGGACCAGATGGAATCAGCCCTAGACTGCTCAGGAACTGTGCTGACCAACTCTGTGGGGTGGTCACGTACATCTTCAACCTGAGCCTCAGTCTGGAGAAGGTTCCGTCCCTGTGGAAGACCTCCTGTGTGGTTCCAGTCCCGAAGACATCGCACGCCAGGGAGCTGAACCACTACAGACCCGTCGCCTTGACCTCCCACCTGATGAAGACCATGGAGAGGCTGATCCTCAGTCACCTGCGCACAGAGGTGAGCTCTGCGATGGACCCGCTGCAGTTTGCCTACAGGCAGAACGTTGGGGTGGATGACGCCGTCATCTACCTTCTGCACCGGGCGCTGACTCACCTGGAGACCGCCGGGAGCACTGTGAGAGTCATGTTCTTTGACTTCTCCAGTGCTTTCAACACCATCCAACCGGCGGTGCTGCGCAGGAAACTGGTGGATGCAGGAGCAGGGGAGCAGCTCGCCGCGTGGACCACCGACTACCTCACAAACAGACCCCCCAAACCTTCCTGCGGGTGGTGAGTCCACTGGAAGATATTAACCGCCCTAACCGGGATTCGAACTTGTCCAGGAGGTGAACCCTGGGGTTCCAGACCAATGACAGAGACATTGCCTCTGGGCCAAAGCGCCACCTATCTATCTATCTATCTATCTATCTATCTA